TAGTTGAGAGAAGAACTCAGCCTAAATATGCAGGATTTATGTATTAAACATGTGTGGATGAACATTATAACATACGGTAGATCAAAAAATAGCGTAATGCGGCACATTAAACTTACTCTGCTTATGTTCAGGTGGATGGAGCTTGCGGGGCCCGTGATTTAATGACTACCTCCACACCTGTGCAAATGGTTGAACAAAGCAGAACGGTGAAAACGCAGAGGGGCCGTGCGTTGGTGCTGACTACGGAGCTTTGACGGATTTCGCTTCGGGCGCAGGCTACCTTCAATGTCTCAAACCATTAGTGATTCCTGTAGTACTAAAGCACCGCTCCAGGGCCCCCATTTCCTTGCATTAACGTCTACCTTCCACCGCAGAAAATCAAAGGCAAATCCGCACGCCGCTACCTCGCGTTGGATACACAAATCAGCCAGGTTAGAGAGGGCCGGGGGGGCTTTTTTGTCCGTCAAAATGAAACCACGAGATAAGCATCGGGTGTGTTTCAAAGCAGAACAATTTATTATCAAGAAACAATATCAAACAAGAAGGAGAGAAAAAATGTCCACTCATTTCATAAACTTGTTTTTTTGCAGAAATGTGATCAGTTCGACGCCCCCAGCTCGCACAACATGATTTATTAAGCTGGGAGATTCTTTCATTTAATCCGACGCCCCTAGTTACAATTTTTCATATTTTCTTGTGTAAATATAGCACTGTCGGTAGGTGTAGAAACCAGATCACAGCAAAGATATGAGACGCAATACAAAGAGGGGTTCCAGTGTTTCTGAGCTAAAGTGCAGTCCGCCCCCTTCAGGTTCGTGTAAGTAGTAGCTCCTCTGAGAGTCCAAACGTAGAGAGTTTCATTGGCACATGTTGTAATGTAATTGAAAATGTCAGTTTGGAGTATCTGATATTTCCATTGTGCTTGAGGAAATGGAAAAGCAGGTTGACCTGGATGCATTAATTATTCAATGTAATGATTATGGTATAGAAAAAGCCTCATAAGCACTTTTACTTGTCTGACATAAACCTGGGTAGTTCAAGCGAAATGGTATGTAGGTCAAAATGTATTCAAGATCATTTGTTCCAATAGATTTAGAATTTTAATAATGTTCAGTTTCTCATTTTGAATTTTTTAACTCTGAAAAAAGAGGTTTGAATTGTTTTTTATTCTGAATTTTAGTTGCTGTAATTTAAAGAATGCTTTTTTTTTTTTTTTTTTTAATATGTTTCACTTCAAAATGAAAATATTCAGAACAAATATTTTCAAGTCCTCAAATTCAACAGTCAAAATTCAGAGTGTAAACTTCGCAGCAATGATCGAAGACGTCAAAGCAGAAGAATCTGTGTATTATTCGTTCATTTGTTTTTCAAAATAAAACCAAAAATAAGAAATAAGAAGAGAACTATTTTCTTCATTATTTGTCTCCAAAACCAAAATTAAAAAAAAAAATGATAATGATTTGTTTTTTTCAGTTTTTGTGTTTAAATTAGTTAATGGAATAAACAATAATGGTCGTTTCCAGTTTCTGAAACTTAAACTGCGATGCCGGACTTTTGCGCCGCATACGGACTGAACTAGGACTAAAACAAGACTAAAACAGGACTAACCCAGGTCTAAACCAGGTCTAAACCAGGACTAAATCAGAACTAAACTAGATCTAAACCAGGACTAAATCAGGACTAAACCGGAACTGAGCCTTGAGATGGGCCCAGAAGTGATCAGGACTGAGATCCAGACCTGACTAGACCGGGACTAGACTGGGACTAGACCGGGACTGAGACTGGGACCAGACCGGGACTGAGACTGGGACCAGACCGGGAATGAGACCGGTTTAGTCTTCTTTTAGTCCTGGGATCGCTTCACTGCACCATTTCCTGTTTGTTACTAAATTAGATCGGATCACTTTGGATCGTTTGCTTCTGCCTTGGCATCTCAGATCTTTGGTGCGAATCTTTTTCACTGCAAATTTTACACTATGAATTTTGACTGTTGAATGAAACAGGTGATTTAATTTTTATTTATTTATTTATTTGTAGTTATTGAATTTTAAACACTTTGAAAGTGAATGCTTAAAATTTAATCAACTGCCATTCAGAATAAAAATATCTCAAACATATTTTTTCAGAGTTAAAAAATTCAAAATGAGAAATTCAACTGCATTTAAAATTCTAAATCTAATGGAACAAATTATCTTCCATAAAAATATAGATTGCAATGTTTCACTGACTCAGATAAATGTACAAATAGGAAATAGGTAGTATAATGGTGATTTTGATTGATTACAAACTGGTCTATAGTCAGACATTAGAATAAACTGTATAGCACGGTCAGCAGTGGAACGTAAAAAGTAAAAGTAGTAAAGTAAGTATGCATTTTTGTTATTGGGGGTCCTTCACCTGCTTGTTTCTATGAAAATGTCAATGCTTTGCCTGGAATATTTCACAGTATGACATTAAACAGCTCTATCTTACATTTATTCAATTACAGGCGGTGTCATCTACAGAGCCTGACATGCGCAAAAAAAGACTAAATCGTGGCCTCAAATTACTATTTTGTTCCCACCATTTGTAATTCCGACACTTTAGCCAATTTGTACACATTACTACACCGATTCTGGAGGCCTACATTTACATAAGCGTACATTTGAGCAGAGAACAATAAACATCAAAATGAAAAAAAAAGAGAGAATTTTAGCTTTACTTGTGTCTGCCAAGGTCTATATGCTAAATGAACGCAAATCTAATACCACAAAATCACGCCCTGTTTTGTATAATCAGAGGCAATTTCTTGATTTGTGGGTAAAAAATTGGCTAAAATGTGACAATAAGTTAACAAAAATGTGGGAACGAAATAGTAATTTGAGGCCACGATTTAGTATCTTTTTTTGCGCATGTCATCAAGCGGGCTCCGTAGTTATCGCTCAAAAATACCAAGAAAAACAGGTGCTCTGACTGTCACAGATCTGACCTGTAACTTGGTCTGGTTTGGTCTCCATGAAGATAGCAAGATTTAATGCCATACTGTGAAAAATTTCAGACAAAGCAATAACATCTCCATGGAGACAAGCAGACAGCACACCAGTACACCTTTAAAGTACAAATTTTAAAGTATATATTTTCAGTATCTGTACTTTACTTTACTACACTGTGCACAGCTTCTCTACCATGGAGATGTTACCTGGAATGTTCCACAGTATGTCATTACACTTATTTATCTCTACAGAGAAAGCAAGTGATGCCATAGGACTAAGTTACATGTCAGATCTGTGCAGAGACGAGCCCACTCACAGTAAGAATAGATGTTTTTAAGTCAATAAAACCACGTGTTACTGAGTAAATGCAAGATGGTTAAATTTAAAGTCACACTGGGACATTCTAGACAAAGCAACGATCATTTCCATGGAGACAAGCAGAAAACGGACCCTCCACCAGAAAAGTTACACAGTGCACCTTTAAGTAGATTTTAACGTGGATACTTATTACTTTTACTTCACTACATTTGAGAGCAGGTATCTGTACTTTCTACTCCACTACATTTTTGAAAAGTAAAAGTATTTTTGATGATAATTTGAGATGTTTTTTGCTGAAAAGGCTGAGCTTTTTTCAGCATGTTCCTAAACTAAAATATACAGTACCGTATTTTCCGAACTATAGGGCGCTCTGGTCTATTTTGAAACTTTTTTCACAAATAAACCGCACCGGACTTTAAACGAAACGCAACAGTTGGATGGGTGAGTCGGACTTTGTTTGTTTGTCTTGGTTCACGGTGACTCTGGGCTTTGTTCAGTTGTGGCGTGTAGGGAGGTGCTGTCTGGGACCGCTGGATTGTCGGCGTGTTCGCAGTGACTCAGTTGTTCAGTTGTGTCTAGGAGTGGCACATCGCATTTGCTTTTTCGGTTCGTTCCTCCGTTCCATTCCTCGTCGACACCCGAGTGGATTCGTGTTTAGGGCGCTCTGGATTGTTGGGCGCGCAGTTGTTTTTTGATGGTGTTGGAGGCTTTTGAGTGTGCCCTATAGTGCGGAAAATACGGTATTTAATATTACTAACTAAATTGTTTCTACAGAACAAAATTCAGCACAAATCATTACAAAATCACTACATTTGAAGCTTAACAAGACCTAAAAATCTGTGTAAAAATGCTATTTAAGTCAAATTTTCATGTGATACTTCTACTTTAACTTTAGTATTTTTTCGCTCCAGTATCTGTACTTTTACTTAAGCACTTACTTTAACGAAATTGGGTGCTTCTTCCACAACTGAGCACGATCATTTTCCAAATAACAAGACTTTAAATATAGAGAATCCTTTGCAAAATGTATTGAACTCTTGTAGCAGATAAAACTGTAAGGCTTTTACTGAGTTTGACTAAGTGGAAATTGTGATGGCTGCAGAATTGGGTCAGCGTATTTTCAAAACTGCAGCTCCTCCGGTCTGCATTTTCTATCAAAGTGAAAAGGAAATAGCACACAGTATTTCTACGTGTTGAGCTACAATAGCGGATTTTGTAGTTAAAGCAAAAAATACAAGTTCATCCCACTAAAGGAAAACATCTCGTCTTCTTTTATTGCCATTCAGAAAACAATACCATTATACTCTTATTCTACTCTGCATATAAAAATCCACCGAAGTTTGCTTTAAATGGCTCAGCCTCATTGATTTTCCATAAAGTCTTGGGACAGCTTATGGACAGCGCTAGACCTGCATTAATAATAGCAATTGCCAAAACAGTCGGGCAATTCATCAAATTTTAAGCAGCTAAAGTCATCCGTGATCTGCTAGGGGCTTTTTTAACTAACAGATATATAGTGGTAGAAAACGCCGGTGGTTTAGAGAAGAGTTCAGCTTTAGAGAATTAAAATTAAAAGGGCATTTTTATCTGTTAATATGTTGTTTAAATTGTCAGTCTTGTCCATGCTTATAAACCTTATATATTTAAAGCTACCATCTGTAATTAGACCGACTGACCCACACTTGTTGTAAAATATGGGCCACTTACATGCTCGATACATTACTGCAGTCTAAGGACCTGTTTACACAAGAACGCTTGCGGGTAAAAACAACTAAATATTTTATTGGAAGTGCCTTTCGTTTAGACGGTGACGGCGTTTTTGGGGCTTAAAAATGCAAAAATCTGAAACCACCCTCCACAGTGGAAAAGTTGAATACGCTCTGCCGCAGCATTTCCGTCTACACTGCCCAAGACGCAAAACTCTGGTCAGATCTGCTCACGTGGAGTACGCGTTTATGTCACATACATCACCACCGAGCCTTTCGCGGCACCATATGCACGCAGATTTCCTCCCGAAAATGCTCGTCTAAACGCGGAATGAAAAGTGAAGACTTTTAACGCCACTTTTGCATCTTCTGTTCAGACTTTCATCATATAAATGTAGCCTGATAACGCGTCAGCTTTGGCCTGACAGAAGAAAACCAGAGACAGGTATTTTTAAAAACTGAGACATTTCCCTTCATTTGTGCCCATCTTTTACACGCAAACAGCGAATTCGCCTCTGAAAATGAATCTTTCTAAAAACTCTGGCCATAGTGGAGATGCTGAAAAACTACGGTTTGGTGTTTGTGTGTAAAGAGAGATAAACGGCATTTTAGGAGCTGACGCGCCAGTAGTGTGACCAGTGTTTATCTTTGGTCTGATGATGATGATGAAGCATTCAGAGCAGCAGTCGCACTTCTTCTCAAATTTGCACACACAGCTGATGAATCTTATCCATGACCAGAGACCAATGAGGCTCGGAGGTCAGCATTTTTGCCACTTCTTTAACAGATCTGTGGAGAGGTGAGCCGCTCAGTAATGCACGTTTTTCAAGGTATTTTTGAGTAAAACTTACAACTATAATGAAAAAAAAATGCTACAGGTTTGAATCTAATCCAGGCACCGCTCAGAGGCTTGGTGTAGTTATGACGGCGCTTGATGGTGTATTTATGCAGGTTGAACTTTTTTGAAAACAATGCTGTGTGCACGATGTTATTTTGGAAAACGAAGGGAGGGAAATATTTGTTTCTCAACATACCCGGCGATGTGTAAACGTAGCCTGAACAAAAACTGGGTGTGGGAAGAGGGACCAGGTTTCACTTCTGCCATCTACTGGTGAAAAAAATAAATAATTGTACAGATGGTAGCTTTAAAGCCCTAATTAGCTGTTTTAAAGAATCAGTCAATCAGGAAAAGATCATGACTCCCTCTTTTCAAACCAAGTCGTCCAGTTCTACAAAAAAGTTTCACAACATCAACAAATCAAAAACAAATATTTTCTTTAAAAACATGATTCACAATATGTCAAATGTATAGAAATAGAAACAGTGATACTTCCAAACTGACCATTTCAATCATTTTTATACATGTACCAACCCATGACACGCCTCGGCCCCACAGAGTCCCAAGTGTCTCGTGTCTTATTGCCAGTTGAACGTGCGCCTGACCAGCCTGAAAAAGGTCCTGTTATGTTCCCTTAGGAAAGCCCTCAGCTGCTGGAGGACGGAGTTATTGACCGCCGGGTGTGGCCGTCCCTTCGACTCGTGCAGACAGCGCTCACGTCCGTCGCTCCGAATGCAGTAAAAACCTTTCGTCTGGTTGAAGTAGAAATTGGACGATACTATCCTGGGGGGCAGGTTTAGGAAGTTCTCCACTTTCTGCAGCTCTGGTAAAGGGTCCCGAATGAGCGCGTCCCCGTCTACGATATGGATCTGCTCGAGGGGGAAATGCCTCAGCCAATTTCGGATATGGATGTCGTAGAGGCTTCTTTGAATGGCTTTGTAGCGCATATTCAAAACGCCATTTCGCACGAGCAAGTTCTCAATCGCCTGCACCGGTTTGTGGTTCTCCAGGCGGTTGAAGTAGACTTGGGTGTAGTCGGAGATCACCCTTTCCGTTGGATCCCGCAAGATCAGCAGGAGTTTGATGGAGGAATTCATGGCGCAGATTCGTTCCGGAGCAAGAGCGGAGGTGAAATACCCTGGCGTTTTCTCGATCGTAATCTGGTTGGGGTAGGAGTAAGGCATCAGGTCGCGATACCACTCGAATCCTTTCGCGTAGTTCTCGTCCCAGTCGAAAAAATGGACTTCGGTGGCGGCGGCTGCGACTTCTGGATGGATGTCGAGCATTTCCAGCAACGCTCTGGTTCCACCTTTGCGAACGCCGATGATGATACTCTGAGGAGCTTTTTTGCTTGTGCCCGGCGGCGGAGAAGTTGAAACGTCCGACATGTTGCTCGCTTGGACTGAGTCAAGTTCGAGGGGGTCTACGCCGAATTCTTCTTGGAGGAATTCAGGAGGTGCACCGTGAATCTGGACGACGAACAGCAAAGCAAACGAGAGGAAGTAAGACATTTTGGGTCGGTTTAGGATCACGCGAAGACTGGTCGAACGTTGATTGTTCCTGGTTTATCCGAGTTAGTATAGTCGTATCAGGTCAGGTTGAAAACGGAGTCTCTGTACGCCATTGGAATCGAACGTGGGTTGAGACCATCTTCAGTTCATCGCTCATCTGCAAAAGAGACAAAAAGAAAAGGAAAAGGCATTCAGATTACAGGTATAGAGAGCCCATTTTACACCGAAATAGCTGCTGAGTCCATAAGTGCATTATCACAAAAGGATCATCTGTATTCATCTTTTTATGCATCGCTTTTCATCCAACCCCCTCTCCCTCCTCCGCCCTTCTCCTCTTTCTCATCGCCTCTCTTCCTTGAACTCCATAAAGTCACTTCCAATAGATACTGTAATGTCTTTGTCTGAGAAACATTTGGCCGGGCAGCGCGTTGGTGTCGAAGATTGCGAGATATGGCAACTCGCCCACGGAGCAAGGCCACAGTGCTTTGTCTTGCCTTTCCGCGGGTCAAAATTTTGGGCTAAAATCGATAGAAGTTTCGTCGGTCTCTGGTGCGTTCAATTCGAGCCTCCCCCGGTTCGGAGATAGATGCGTTTAGAGCAGGAAGCCAAATGAGTTCCCACTTCCAGGTGACTTTGATTTTCAATGAGACGAGGCAGATCAATACCGAGAGAATGAACCTTCGCAAATACAATAAGAAGGATTCGGGGTATTAAATAAGATTGGTAATATTGAAGAAGAGACTTAAATCTGTAAGAACACGGACTGTAGTGTTTGAAAACTTGGGAGACATGAAAAACTTTAAGTAGTCAAGAATTATATAAAAATGTGAGCTATTTAAAGGCTCTGTACCTGAATTTTTCTCATGTATTTGAGCAAAATTTGTTTGTCTTAGAGCAGAAATATTGTATAAGCAGCTCTTGAGGTCAAAATAATTCTACTGTGTACTGTCTACAACAAAATATAAAGCACTTTATTATTATTTTTATTATTTTTTGGGGGGGGGGTCAATTTTTTGTGATTTTTTTCAAATAACAATAGCAAGAATGAGGGATGCATTACAATATAGAAACAAAATAAATCCGTGTATCATTCGTTCATTCCTTTTTCAAAATAAAACCAAAAATAAGAAAACAAAAAAACAACTATTTTCTTCATTATTTGTCTCCAAAACCAAAATGAAAAAAACAGATAACGATTCATTTTTTTTCAGTTTTCGATTTTGTGTTTAAATGAATAATGGAAAAAAACTTAACTTAAACTGCAATGCTGGACTATTGCGCCGCATATGGACTGAACCAGGTCCGGGACCAGACCGGGACCAGGACCAGGACTGAGATCGGGACTGAGACTGGGAACAGCACCAGGACTGAGACCGGGACTGAGACCGGGACTGAGGCTGGGACCAGACCAGGACCAGACCTTGATTGAGACCGGACTGAGAGCAGGACCAGACCGGGACCAGACTAGGACTGAGATCGGGACCAGACCAGGACTGAAAATGGTTTAGTCCTGGTTAAATCCTGGTTCAGTCCAGCATCGCAGTTTCAGTCACAGAAATGGGAAACAGTCCTTCTCCGTTATCCGTATCCGTTTTTTTATTTTGGTTTAAGAGACAAATAATGACAGTTTTTTCTTTTCTTATTTTTGGATTTATATTGAAAAACGAATGATCGAATGATGATTTTAAACATAATAGTGAAAAAAAAAAAAAAGTAAAAAAAAAAAAAAAAAAGGTGTACAGGGTTTACTTTGAGAAAACCTAACACCTCAGGATGTAACGATATCCAAATCTCACAGTACAATATTTATTACGATATTTTGAAGAGGCTGATATAATTGTAGATGAGACACTTTTTTGCTTTTCAAATACCTTGACAAGATTTTGGTGTGAATTATTTCTGTCATAACCCCAAGAATTCAAGTAAAAAACATATTTCTTCATGTTTTCAGCGCTGAAATGAATCATGGGAAATGTAGTTTCTGATGTTTATAAACTGTTGCTACTATAAAACCAATAGTAAATATCACAATATCACGACACTCATGCTTTTGCTTTAGCTGTTCCTCATCTCCCACTCCCAACTTGAAAGCACTTTGTCCAGTGATCAGGAAGAGCACTGTTGGCATACTAGTTGTGGTTAACACTACCATGGTGGCAAAACTCAGCTCTCAACTCAAATCAACTTGGGATAAACGCTTAAAAAACTCATCACGGTGAATAACTAGGATGCTCTGAATGCATAAAGTAAGTGAGAAATAACTTTGGACTACTGTTTTTCGTGTTTTTAAGACAGCAAAAAAGATTTTACAGTGCCGACAAGCGACGTTACAAGGCATATTGTGCTGTGGTAAGTAACTTTAGTAGCGTCCACCACCAGGTTGTATGGTTGCCTGGAATATTTCACAATGTAGGATTGAATTTATTGGGCCAAATTACATGTCCAGTCCTAAACACACACCAGTAATTGAATAAATACAAGACATATAAGTGTAATCCCAAACACAAAGTAATAAAATATCCATATAAAGCAAGTAAGCAAGTACCATCGAAAATCTAAAATAGTTCACTGTGCATTTACTTTCTACGGAGCCTTAGTTAAACAAAGTCCTAAAAAACAAATGGAGTTGGATTAATGCCTTTTTGGCAGAGGAAGTAGGGCAGGTTGTACAAAAGTTGCCAGTTCGTGCCCCTTTCCGTTGGGAATATGTGAGTTTTTGTTACTGAGAATAGTTCATTGGTGTGAACAGAATCTGGAACATTTGCATAAGGAAAGGACTGTGATAAACACATGCCTACAGCTGTTTAACGCAAGATTTTAACAAGATTTCATACACTTTATTCACATATGCACAATTATGTTCTGTTACAATGATGTTTCCTCGTCAGACGTTGTGTTTCGTTTCATTCACATATGTTTAAAACAGATGTTCTTTCCGTAAACAGGAAACACTCTCTTCCACCTTGTGATGTCATATGGTACTAGGATCAGACCATCGACCATCAAACACTGAAGCTTATTTTACGTGACTAAAAATGAAGTTGAATGAAGAAATGATGTTTAGGTCAGAATTAATTAAAGTCTAAGCCTCAGACAGAGCAGTGCTTGCAGTTAGCGCCACATGCCCAAGAAATGTTGATGGTATCAGCCGCAAAATTAAAAAAAAAACTATTAAAATGCTCTGTTTCCATGGAGACAAGCAGGACATGTCACTCAGCTGAGTTAAAGGACAGATCAATGAAGAGACGTTACTAATCTGTGTATCATTCGTTCATTTGTTTTTCAAAATAAAACCAAAAGTAAGAAAATGAAAAAAAAAATAAAATAAATAAATTGTCTTCAAAACCAAAATGAAAAAACAGATAACAATTTTTTATTTTTTTTTTTCAGTTTTCGATTTTGTGTTTAAATCGAAACTTAAACTTCGATGCCAGACTGAACCAGGACTAAAACAGGACTACACCGGTCTCGGTCCTCGTCTCAGTACCGGTTCAGTCCTGGTTTAGTCCCGGTTTAGGACTGAGACCGAGACCGGGACTGAGACCGCGACTCAGACCGGGACTGAGACCGGGACTGAGACCGGGACTGAGACCAGAACTGAGACCGGGACTGAGACCGGGACTGAGACTGGAACCAGACCGGGATTGAGACAGGGATTGAGACCAGGACCAGACCGGGACCAGACTGGGACTAGACCGGGACCAGACTGGGATTGAGACTGGGACTGAGGCCAGGACTGAGACCGGGATCAGATCGGGACTGAGACCAGGATCAAACTATGACTGAGGCCAGGACTGAAACCATTTTAGTCCTGTTTTAGTCCTGGTTCAGTCCTGGTTACAGTAAGTCACGGAAACAGGAAACGGCCGTTATCCATTTTTTTATTTTTTTTTTAATCCATTATTCATTAAACATAAAATCGAAAACTGGAAAAACAAATCATTATCGTTTTTTATTTTTTATTTTTTATTTTGTTTGTTTTTTTTTGTTTTGTTTTTTTGTTTTATTTTGAAATACTAATGAACAAATGCTCCACAGATTCTTGCTCACAGTAAGAAATCATGTTTTTAAGGACTTTTTAAAGCAGAAAAACACTTAATAATTGCATAAACGCAGGATCTATTCGTGTAATGCCACACCGTGAAACATTCCCGGCAAAGCAATAACATTTAAAAGTATAAAACCCACGCTTCATTTATTTTAAACACCTCCATACGCCTTGCTGGCATTACTGTTTCTTGTTTTCACAACTTGTCTGAAGTGTTTTCTTCATCTCCAAGAAATAACATATGCTAAAAATGTTCTTTCATTATGTAGCAAGTGCTGAAGACTTGAATTAAATTTCCAAATGTCACAGCGGTAATTAGAGGCAAACTTTGGAGTGTGGTGCTGAGAAGGAGCAGAGAGTGCACTGAACCAGTCACAACACCGGGAGAGGTATGCAAACATGCAGCGCGCCAAAGGTCAGGGAGGGGGCGCTCAACAGGTTAGGCGTTCCCGGCGCACGATACAAAAGATTCTGTCAAAGCAAAGGTTAGATTCTGTTCACTTCATTACAAACTCTACAGTACGGGAAGTTGTTCACACTGTGGTTAATGAAGTGCTCGAATTTATTTCTAAATTGGACTATTCACGTAGCATGACTCACCGCCTGTCAGCTTGTGTTTTCAATAGATGTTAAAATATCTCTAATTTTACTGGAATGTTCTTTTGTAGGAACCACCTTGAAATCTGCGGTGGTAATAATAACAGAGATCGACGAATATGTTTTTTTGTTTTTTTTTCCATGAACGATGCTGCTAGAGTTGGAGAAACTGATGCCCCAATAAGCTCTGCCGATATTTTTGAGCCGATATGTATGGATGGTTTTAACCCTCACGCTCTCCTCGGGGTCACATAGGCCATGTTCAGACTGCAGGGCTTAACGCTCAATTCAGATTTTTTTGGGAAATCCGATGTTTTTGCGAGGTCGTTCACATTTCCAATTAAATGCGACTTGTATGTGACTCCAGTGTGAACAGTAAACGGCCCGAAAGTGTCCCACATGTGACACTGGAGACACGACGACGTCAACCGCAGCGAGCGTCTCTGTGTTTACGGACGTTGTCCAAACATGGACGTGAGCATCGAGCACCTGGAGATTTTAAAGTTCCTCTC